CTACGTGGGCTACGCCTAACACCTTCATAAGGCACTACGCCCTAGACGTCCGAAAGAACTCTCGTACCAACATGGAATGTCACATCTTATCCTCGGCTTCGCAGTAAGGACCTGCCAGCACCCTCTTCCAGGTAGGCCACTGCTCGCTAATCTCCCATGGGTGTGAAGCACAGAGACCACGTCGAAGATAAACAGGTTGCTTACCTGTAACTGGTGATCTTCGAGTGGTCATCTGTGCATTCATACCACCCGCCCTCCTTCCCCGCTGCTGTCAGCTTCTACATTTTCTATAGGGGTTGATTCGCGGTGGTTCAAAGGAACTGGTGGGATGTCTGCGCCCACCCCTCTGGGCATGCGTGGCGGGGGTTCCCGCGCATGACCAAGGTCTGGGCGCGAAAATCCGTTAAAGAGCTTGCTACAATGCCGATCGATCCAGCGCATGCGCACTGTATCCCATGGGTGTGAATGCACAGATGACCACTCCAAGATCACCAGTTACAGGTAAGCAACCTGTTTTTGCATTGTTTGCTACTAAGGTGTTTTCTAGGCTTGGATACTAGCTGAAAACTGGATTCCTCTCTTTGTGTATGTTATAGGCAGAGACAGTAGCCACTTCAATATATTTCTTATGGTATGTTTCTACTTTTTCATTTCTAAATACAGTATAGAATTATGTTACCCTGCCAGACTACCTTCTTTCAAATGTTATAAATGAGAAAGTCTTCTTGGGGAAACATGCTGTAGATGTGTGATGATATCTCAGCAGCATATCCATTGACTCCTCTTTTTTCCTTCGGTATGTTTCTACTTTTTCATTTCTAAATGCAGTATAGAATTATGTTACCTTGCCAGACTACCTTGTTTCAAATGTTATAAAGTCTTCTTGGGGAAACATGCTGTAGATGTGTGATGATATCTCAGCAGCATATCCATTGACTCCTCTTTTTTCCTTCAAAGCATCCTCAGTATGAGAACACACCAGTGCAGCCTCAATTTGCAGAGAGATCTGTGGCCCACTGTGAAAGGGAGGAGCTGGAACGGAAGCTCGTATCAGTCCAGAGTAAAGAACTGCAACTCATTGAGTTCCTCAAACAAATGGCAAGCAAATCTAATGAGGACAAAAAGAAGATGGAAGAGAAGGTGGGTTTCTCATTGAGCTTCTCAAAAGGACTTAATTGTCATAGAACATGTTATGGATTAAATGGCAGCCTGGTTCAGATATCATTTGAAGCTAGGTGTGGTTAATGTGATTATTCAAAGGTGAGCCAGTCCACTAACTGTGGTTGGCTCTTTTTGTAGCAGGAACTCCTTTGCCCATTAGGTGACACACCCCTAATGTAGCCAATCCTCCCAAGATGGCAGCCTGGTTCAGATATCATTTGAAACTAGGTGTGGTTAATGTGATTATTCAAATGTGAGCCAGTCCACTAACTGTGGTTGGTTGATGAAGATACATACAACTATGGTTTTGCATTATATCTGAACTGTTCTGAGTTCAGACATGGTATCCTGGGCTCCCTTGTTCTTAGAGCAGCACTGAAGAACAACCAGAATCAGCTAGGATGTCTGCTTTCATATATCACATGAAATTATGGTAAAACTAACTGGTGGTGCTTCTTCAAGTGGTTCTTGAGCCCAGTCATCAAGAAATGACAGGTCTTTCTCTTGACTGATCCTAACCCCACACAGCTGGCAGTGGCAGAACAGGAATCCACCATCTTCTGAAAGTGTTTCCAGACCTTAGTGGTATAAGAACACTGTGGCAGTAATTCTTAAATTCCCGAAATCCTTGTGATTTAGGCCTCATGCAAGTCCAAGTTAGTGTCAGCCAATCAGAGCCCATGGAACTCCACTGGATGAGAGGGGGTGAGCCAGCCTCAGCTTAAAAAGGGTGAAGAAAGCTTTTTTACTTTTGGATAGGGATTTTGTGGCTCTGGAAAGGAACGTCAGCTTAGCCAGGCTTTTATTTGGCTTTTTAGTTAGGGTATGGGGGTCACCTTAGGGAAGAAAACTTATTTTAATGTGACAAAATAAGCATCCTGTTAAGGGTACATCGTTCCTAACTGTGTTTAGGTTCTGTGGAAAGGTTCTCTCTTGTGGGAAAAGAACAGCCTTGAACCTGCTGAGGTAAACCCTTCAGGGTTTATTTACTTTACTGTAGACCCAGTTTTACAATATAAATTGAAGTCATCCACACATATTTACCTTACTAAATACTTTATTTTCTGTTAAATAAATCTTTGTTTTTAACTCCTTCCATATCTTTCTGTCTAGTCAAATGTCCCAAGGAAAAGTGAGCTCCATTCATTTCACATATTGAACCTTGGTCTAGCAGGTTTCCAAATAAGTGACCTTTAGGGAGCCCTAGCTTACATGCTACTAATCCTCCTTTATTCAAAGTGTGCGCCTCCCTTTTTATTTGATTGTGGGTAGTTGGGGTTTAAAGAACCTATAGAAGCAGCCGGAGTGGGCATTCTTCAGTCCAGAAGGCAGATGCCTCAGAACCTTCCCCCCTCTGTCTCTCATCCCATAGACACTACACGCACCCATGCTGACTAGCAGCTGCAAGCACTGCCAGAGCCACCTCCTGTGAGGCGATCAGGGCAGACACTCTGTGTCTGGGCAGAAGTAGATGCCCAAGGGAGAAGGGGTTTAAATGGCAGCACCTTGGGATGCATCTCCATCTCTTGTGCCATCTCCAGCCTCTCCTCCTCCCTCTCATCAGAAGACTGCTGGACTCTGGGGGAACTGGAGAAGGGGTATTTATGTATTTATTAGAATTTCTACCTCGCCCTCCTAGCCAGAGCAGGATACCCAGTCTCTACTCCAGTTCCTCCAGTAGTCTCTGGTTCCTGGGGTGGAACTGAGAGCTGGAATACTCTCATTCCCTCAAGTTCAGCCCAAAAGAGAGCTCAGGCTGCTCCTCCTGCTGCTGCTGAGTTGCAACAGCTGGAATAGGGGCAGAAGCACATCCCTGTCCAGTGCCAGCACCTACCTCAGGCACCTTTGCGGGCAGTGCTGCAGCAGCAGTCTCAATGAAGAGGGCCTTGCGAGCCTCTTCATTGCACCTCCCCAAGCCAGAGGCTGCTGTGGGGCAGGCCCTCTGCACAGGCTCGGGGAAAGCCTTAGTGCCCCCCGCCCCCCGCCCTAATACTCTTCTGCTTAGCCTTTCCTTCAGTCTCCCCCTGTACTCTCCTCCTATCCCTCATTCTGTCCCCCTGGACTACTTCACCAAATTGAGCTAGCTGCTATAGTGCACTCTAACTCTGAGCACTAACTGAACTGCTATCTTTTGTAACTACAACTACAATGAACCTCTTTTTAAAAGCCTAAGTTTATTTTATTTCCCCTAGTTTACAACCAAAGGCTAATTCCTTCCCCCTCAAATTAAGCTAATCTCTAGTCTTTCTGAAATCCTGGCTTCAATTTTTGGAAGGCTGAAAGGATACCTAAACCCTATTTTTTAAAAAAACACCTGGCTTCAATTGTTTTGAAGCCCACGCCAGTAGAAAGCCAATAATCATAACCATTAGTGTGCTTGAAAAATAATTTTGTGATCTCTGAACTGCTGATTTGAAGAAAGCAAAAACAGTTATGTGTTTAACTACAGAAGAAATGTCCAGCAGTCGAAATGGTAAGCAAGAAATCTCAGCATCAAGTAACATAAATACAATTTTGCCATGTTTATCTTTTAGTCACACTTAAATAACACTTACCTTAATAACACGTGGGAATAAATGATATTGTGTGAATTAAACAACTGGTTTCAGATTACCTTGTGCATATGTGTTTCCTGTCTCACATAATGAAACAGTTGTTCTTTTATAGCTCAAAACGAGGGACAGGTACATAAGCAGCTTGAAAAAGAAATGCCAGAAAGAATTAGAACAGAACAAAGAGAAACAAAGAAGAATAGAAACACTTGAAAAATACCTGGCTGACCTGCCAACCTTGGATGATGTTGAAAGTCAAAGCAAACAGGTAATCTGCGTTTTGTGGTATCCATGAGTTATGAGAATTTAGAGCTTTTGCTGGATACATATTGTAACTTACTATGTGTAATATTTGCACACGTTGTACTTCAGTAAAAAGTTTTAAAGGGCATAATCCCCTGAAAATGCCACTGCATAAGCCCCTGGAAATGAAAGAGTACTATCCAATGGAGCTAACAGAAAAGGAGTTCCAGTGGATTGTGCTCAAAGGTATTTATTTTTACAAGGCATAGATATGGTACACTGCCTCTTCCATGGATCGAAAGCTCCTTCTCCTGGAGGAAACCTTTTCTGCCAGCAGAACAGAATTATTGGTGCAACCCAGAGGATTTAACCTTTGTAGTTTCCCCATCTTAAAATATGCCATTACTAGGGTTGGCCATTTAACAGGGCAAAATGATTTGTTTAATTGACCTGTCAAATAGTTATTCTTAAAGCATTACTTTTATCAGAAAAAAGTGTATCTTAATTACCAATAGGTTTCATACTTGTGCTGCTTACAAAGAGCCAGTTAGGTGTAGTGGTTAAGTGCACGGACTCTAATCTGGGAGAACCGTGTTTGATTCCCCACTCCTCCACTTGCACCTGCTGGATGACCTTGGGCAAGCCATAGTTCTGGCACAGCTGTTCTTGAGAAAGAGCAGTTTCTGTCAGAGTTCTCTCAGCCCCACCTACTTCACAGGGTGTCTGTTGTGGGGAGGGGAAGGGAAAGGAGTTTGTAAGCCGCTCTGACACTCCCTTGGGTAGTGAAGGGCGGGGTATAAATCCAATCTCTTCTCTTCTCTTCTTCAAATTAGTTAATTGCTATTGTGAAAAAAATGAAATTTTAACAATTCATCATGGAGCAATCATGGTGAATATATGTTTTCAAAAATATTTAAAAAATAATTTTAGAACTGAAATAAAACAAAATATCAATAGCTATTTTACAATAACTATTTTAAAAGAAAGAGTAAATTTAAAATGCAGCTGTAGGTACAGGCCAGCACGTCTGCTTTGAAGATTCCTGTAGTTCCTGAAGTTGTCTGGCAAGAGAAGCTTTGCTATGCTAATAAGCTTTGTCTCTGCCTGCTGTAGAAGGAAGGGGCAAGAAGCCCTAGTTTCTGTGACTGCTGACATTATAATGAAATAAAAAAGTGTAAACTGCTATTATCTGCACAGAATCATTTTTACCTTCAGGGAATATTTAATATGTTAAGATAATAAGCAATCAAATGACTGGCATGCCAGCTTTATAAACCAAATTCCAGTGATGCTGTAAAGACTAACAACATGTATTTCAATATGAACTTTCATCTCCTTGGGGAAAACTGATCCAGAGCTGACCGAGAATGCCCTCTCCCAGGTTGCAGCCTGCCTAATCTTAGAAGATGGGGGCACTCAAAGCAGGTCGTCTGCAGATGATCATGGTGATCAGGTGGGTTCTTATGGGAGTAGGCAGTCCCTCGGGTATGCTGGTCCCAAACCATATAGGGTTTGAAAGGTCAAGACCAGCACCCTGAATTGCTCCCAGAAACAAACTGGGAGCCTGCATAGATGGGCCAAGACTGGAATAATATGGTTCCTATGGCCCATCCCAGTCAGTATCCTGGCTGCAGCATTCTGTACCAGTTAAAGTTTTTCAAACACTTCTCAGGGGCAGCCCCACATAGATCTCATTTTTCTGCTCAAAACTTATCGCTATATGAGCAGTACTAGATAAATAGATAGGTAGTAATCTAATTTAGATGTAGCCAGGGCATATACCACAGTAGCCAGATCTGTTCTGCCCAGGAAAGGCTGCAGATGGCTAAGCAGTCAAAGCTGATAAAAGGCACTCCTGGCTCCAGCTGCCACCTGCTTATCCAGCAGTAGGCCTGGATCCAAGAGCACCCCCTGCACTATGGACCTATTCCTTCAGGAGAAATGTAACACCTTAAATCCAAGGCCATACCTTCCACCATCAGTAGCACTTCTGTCTTGTCAGGATTAGGCTTCAGTTTAATTAGCCCACATCCACTCCAAAACTGCCTCCGGGCACAGGTTCAGGGTTTCTATAGCCTCTCTAGGATTAGCTGGAAGAGCAAGGTAGAGCTGACTGTCATCTGTGCATTAGTGAAATGGTGACTGTGAATAAAATATTTTTTTAAAAAAAATCTGTGTATTCACCCAGCAGTTTCATGTAGATGTTAAAGAGTTTAGGAGATGGTATTCCCAAAATGATTTCCTTTCCACGTAGCTAAAGAAATTAACTCTGACTCACAAAAACTCATACTGAAATAAATGATAAAACAAAGCTTGAGTCCAGTGGCACCTTTAAGACCAACACAGTTTTATTCAGTAAATGAGCTTTTGTGTGCAGGCACACTTCCTCAGATACAATGAAATGGAATTAACCAGTCCATAAATATAGGCAGAGAGTGGGCAGTAAATTAGCATGCAATGTAATGAAGATGTTTTAACAGATGCGAAGACCAAACATAATAACAAGCTAAGTTTACATAGGCACTATTTGTTTGGATTCAATGGGGGGGGGAGAAGCAAATAAATATGTCAAATTTGGAGACTGATATATCCTCCTTAATTGTGAAATGCTAAGAGTAACTGAGACCCTGTTGTTACACTCCATTTGTCTCCTCTCAAGCATGGAGGTAATTAACAGCATCCTTTTTTTTTGAGGTGGAGTGATTGATGCCACCGGAATTCATTTTATTTTGCCACAACAGACTACTGTGCCTGCCCCTCTTTGAATGCCACCTTTAGACATGGCTCAGTTGTATTGTAATCATAATTATAAAAAACAATTACCATTAAAAAGATTTCCAGTTGCTTTTGCTCTTATTTGGCGTATGAGCCCAATTGCTGCAATGGATATATCTATCCTTCATACTTCTGATAGGACACAAGCTGAAGATAAATTAACTTAGGCCCCGTTCACATGCTGAATTTGCCGTGGGAGAGCCACGATTGAATGGCGGATTTTTTGGGCGCGATCACACCACAACATCTGGCAAGTGGAGCGCACCTGTGGCGTGCCGCCAAAAATGCACGATAAAAAACTACCTCCTTGAAGGTACTAGCAAACTGTTTGCCACAGGCTACCTCCAGACTCCCTTGGTGTGATCGTGCTGGCGTGCGGCTTTTCCCTCCAGTCCCTCGTTGACGCGGAGGGAAGGAACTGTGGCGTGCCGCCGACGCGTGGGATCACATTCTGGCGGTTCTAATTGCGGCGGTGTAAATAGCCCCGCCTCCCCCCCGCGTTATCCGGCCTGTGTGACCGGGACCTTATTCTGTTATATTCTCAGTGGACACAATTATTTAATGCTGGAAACACTGCTATAACAATCAGTACAATAGAAAAATAAAAATAAATACAGATTGTAGTTGTATAGTAGCAGAGAGCCATAAGGTAGCATTAGTCTGATCAAATGTAACTCTCCTGTGGAAGGTGCTGGGCGGGTATGAACTGTTTCCTGACTCTTCTCAGGAAAGACCAGGAAACTGTGCTGTATGCACACATGATCTCTCTGTCTCTCTCACACATGCACACCAGACAATATAATGATAGCAGTTATGCACCCCACCCATTGTGGACTCTTCTCTTTTGCCAATAGTAAGAGTTTCTAGGCATGATAAGATTACTTTGTGGCCATTTTGCTTTGAGCTTTTTCCAAGTCCAGTGGAAGAGTGGGCATCCCAGTACAAATCGTCATTTGCCTTGTTTATCCTTGAGGGAACTGTGGAGTCTCTGATCTGTGCTAAGCACGCCTCAGTACAAAAGTGTTTTGCTGTTGTATAGTTGCAGGTTCTAGAAGAAAAGAACAAGCAGCTAAAAGCTACAGTGGCTGAGCTAGAGAAAGCACTTGAAGAATCCAGAGCACAGTGTACAGAGAAAGAATTGCAGCTCGTATGTCAGAAAAAGAAAGAAAAAGAATTGGTAACTTCAGTACAGAGGTATGAGTATCGTATTTGATGACTAATTCAGGACAATTGTTCTGAACAGGATATTTGAAACAATTAGATTCTGTGCCTCTCTAGTGACAGTGTGGGTCAAATGAACTCTATAGTAATGTAAACTGCCCCACCACACAGAATGTGGTGAATGTAGTACATTGCAAAATGAAATTGAAACGTGACTGACTACAGCAATATCCTTTTAAAGATAATGGGAATTGCAGAACTGCTGCTTTAGGGATGGAGAGTAGAAACAACAGCCTATACAGAAAAGAATTGGGCATGACTAAAAAAACACCCACTCTTGATGGTTATGAGGATTGTGATCGGCTTATTAATTATATATTTTACTTGAATAGAGAGCAGAACTAGCAGTCCATGGGTACAGTCCAGCCCCCAGAAAACAAATATTCATTTTCAGAAAGGAGGATTTGTGAAACTACAGACTTCAGTACCAGGGAAAGTGTTAGACAAGTTATAAAGTGGTCAGTCTGTAAGCATTTTGAAAACAATAGGGATTAGTAGAAGCCATCATGAATTGATGAAGAACTCATCTTGCCAGATTATTAGTTTGGCATTTTTGTGTGGGTTATTAGCCTATTTCTATTCGGGATCATCAACAAAATAATATAAATAGTTGAGAAATTCCCCATAACATGTCATGCTGAGCAATAAATATAAATATATTGAGCATAGGGAATGTAATATACTGTGATTATTACGGCATCTGACCCAGGTGTCTCATGGTATTTTGGCTAGCAACCTGGTTAAGTGTGGCCTAGATGATAATAACATCAGATGGGTTCAGAGCTGGGTGGAGAACTCTGCTTAGTGCCTATCAATGGCACTTCATCATTCTTGAGGGAGGTCTTAAGTAGGGTGTCACAGGTCTCTTTCCTGGGCCCATTACTGTTCAAATTACAAGTAGTAATAGTTCCACTCTACCCTGCACTAGTCAGACCTTATCTAGAACACTGGGATTTTGTTGTTCAGTCGCACAGTCAAGTCTGACTCTCCGCGACCCCATGGACCAGATCACGCCAGGCCCTCCTGTCTTCTGCTGTCCTCTGAAGCTTGCTGAATTTCATGTCCGTTGCATCAATAACACTGTCTAACCATCTCATCCTTTGCCATCCCCTTCTTCTTTGACCTTCAATCTTTCCCAGCATCAGGGTCTTCTCCAGTGAGTGCTCCCATCTCATTTGGTGGCCAAAGTATTTGAGCTTCAACTTCAGGATCTGGCCTTCCAGGGAACAGTCAGGGTTGATTTCTTTTAGGATTGACTGATTTGATCTCCTTGCAGTCCATGGGTGCTATAACATTGGGTACTATACTGGGTTCAGAGGAACGTGTTCAGAGGTCTCAAAAATGAGTCCTACAAGGAAAGGTTGAAGAAACTGGATATGTTTAGCATGGAGAGGGAAAGGCTGAGGTGAGATATGACTGTGTTCTTCAGATAGCTGAAGGGTTGTCACATGGGATACGGCAAAGTACATAAGAACATAAGAAAACATAAGAGAAGCCAATGCTGGATCAGGCCAGTGGCCCATCCAGTCCAACACTGTCACACAGTGGCCAAAAATACCAGGTGCCATCAGGAGGTCTATCTTTGATGCTCCAGAGAGCAAAACTAGATCTAATGGGCTTAAGTTACAGGCAGTGTTCCCTCTAAGCTGACTTAGTGTGAGCTATCTCACAGTTTTATATCTTCTGGCTCGCACATTTTTGTCTTAGCTCAGGAAAGATGGCTCCAGAGCAAACTAATTTATGCAGTAGCCAAATCACTTGCTCACAACTTTAATGCCAGTTGCTTACAAAGTAGAATTTTTGCTCAAAAGACTCCACAGCTTAGAGGAAGCATTAGTTACAGGAAGGTAGATTTTGGTTGAACATTAACAGAAACAGAAGGAACAATTCAAGAGTGCAACCAATACCGCATTAGAGGTCTTCAGGCAAAGGCTGGACAGCTGTCTGTCAGGAATACTCAAGCTTTGGATTTCCTGCACTTAGTAGGCCACCTTATAAGCCACCTTATAAGCCACCTGGCCTATAAGGTGCCTTCTAATGCTAGAATTCTGTGGCTCGGTCACTAACACTTTTCCAACTGTTGCCACCAAGTTTTTAGATACAGTGGTAGCAGTGGTATTCCTTTTCAGTTTTTCTAGTGGAATTGCACATCCATGGTTTCTCAGCAACCATACAAGCATCTCCTATTGTTTCCAGGGTAGTAAGAAGCATTAAAAGACATTTGTAGTGAAACCTTTTATCTCCTCTTTCTTCCTTTTCTCTTTACTCCAGCTTAACAGCACATAGTATCTCCAGCTGACAAATCCTGAATGGGAAGTTTCCCAATAGCTTCAATGTCACCTACATTGGAAGTAACATTAAGAACATTCCTCCTGCCAGTGGGACACTATAGTGATACAGGCTAACGTGGGTGGGGAAAGTCAGGCAGATGATATATGAGAAGAATAGTCAATCAATTTAGCACTAGACTGGCCAGTTTAGTTGATGATCACAGGACTGAAGGAATTTGGTTCTGGTTACTGGTAGAAGCAGTCGTCTGGTAGCTGGATGTTATAATTGGTTCCCAGAGATCTGAATTCAAAATCCTATTTTGGAGTTAAGTTGTTGAATGGTTTCAATCAAATCACAGCATCCTCGCTGTCTAACTCTAAAATGGAATAGTAGTAAGCTTTTTCACAGTGGGAGTGGGAGGAAGTACAAGAGAAGGACTGTAAAGTAATTTGCAAAATAGAAATGATGTAGAGTTAGTAAAATGCATGCAGAAGTATTTCTTTGTATGTTTGTGCTGAGGCAGGTGAATATCACAAAGAAGTTTCAGCTACATATAGGGTGCATGCTATCTCTGTACATACATAATTACAGTGGAACAAAAAAGTGGAAGATTGCTGTATAACAATAGATGCTAGAATCAGAATGTCATTACAGAATATATTAAATTCATTAGGATTATAATTATATAGTTTTAGGGTAAAATTCTAAAGAAACACAGGATATGTTGTTGAAGGTTTTCACGGCCGGAGTTCATGAGTTGCTGTAGATTTTCCGAGTTGTGTGGCCGTAGTCTTGCCTAGACCACGGCCACACAACCCAGAAAATCTACAGCAACTAAAAAACACAGGATAATTTGGAATTATGTAATAAAACAAAAAGTGGGGGGTAGAATTTTATTTCTAATGGTATAAAAAGTGTGTCACTTTGTGACCCTCTGTTATTGAATGGTACATACCACAAACACTTTGTCCAAACGATGAAAGGTTAGGTATTTGGGACAGTTAGCCAAATCACTGAGTGCATTGTTTCCATCTTACATCTGGCGGCTCTTGTATATGTGAGTGTACAATATACCAGGCTGGCTTTGTGCTGTTCTAAAAGTCTACAGATACTTCAAGCAAACTCTTGTTTCTAAATTTAAACAATAATTGTCATTGTCATAATTTGTGCTTTATTTTTGATAGATGATGGGTATGAAAGCAAGCAAATATGTGTGGGGGGTTTTCTTTTGCTTTGGGACTTTTGTATATTGATGATGGTATAGATTAAGAGTTGAGGTGCAAAGGTTTCTGAGAAGAATTTAGGCTGAATATTTAAAA